GCTAAAATCCGTCATATTTACACTTGACGCATTTTTTTCGTTTTAAGTGTTCATTAATGTGCATTGTTCCTGTCAAATAAACGATTAAATGAAATAAAATGAACCATACAAAAATATGTTGAAAAGAGTGGATCAAAGTGGAGCAAGTGGAGCAAAGAGTTGCCTTTTGGATCAAATAAAAATACTTTTATGTCTTGTTGGAAATCTGTAACTGTTTTTAGCTGGTTTGGTCGTGTCATGAATTACATTAAGTGTGACCAATATTATTTTCATGCTTTTTGGTGTGTTATAAAACTATTTTTCTCTTCCAGTTTGAGTTTATTTAAGTAATATTACTGTCTGTGATTAATTAAAGAATAGTGTCATAACTGTATTGCTAAATGTTCACTGGGAATTACAATTTTGGAAAACATTATTAAGATGGTTATAGTATCATAGCTGAAATCTTCAGTCAACAGGTTGTTGTTGAAAGTCTTTACATGTCTCGTTATTAAAACCACAGTTTAAAAATGAAATATATTTAACTTGTAAATAATCTTATCCTCACTTTTGAAAAGTAGTAACAGGAACATGTTGACTCTATAAATGCCTTAAACTTCTAATCAACAATAAAAACAGAACCCAAGTACATTTAGCCTCGCCTAAAGACAACTATATGGATTCAAATGCCCTAAAGAAACATCAGATGAACAGCTGCAGGTGTAGTTTATGAAGCCTTGTTTGGTGCGTGGGATATCTGTGTGTCCACATCGTCGGCTCTCGAGGTCTTTGTTGTGGGGGGGTCTTGTGTCTTGTGGCGGCTTTGTGTTTCTCCTCGGTTGTCCATTATGGATGTGGGCAAGAATCACAAGTTTGTAGCCAGGAAGCTGAGGCTTTTACTCACTGCCTTCAATTTTTTTTGATTTTCTAACAACATGAGGTGTTAAATAAAAAAAAGATTTGTCTCTTTCAGAAAAAATTTCCTATCAGAGTCCAGTAAATAAATAAGAATGCATTTTCTTAGGAGTGTGAGCTTTCTATTCATATATATGACACAGAAACAACAAGTCAAATTATAAATCAATTACCAAAAAGGTTCATCTTAAATTCAACTATTAATGTTCTGTAACGGTTGAACTAAATCATTTCTGCACGACAAGCTGTGGTTTTAGCTCTAACTCTTTCCTGTTTCTTCTTTATTATAGTGGGATTTTATAAAATCTCAATCTTTATTCCAAGCACATCTGCGAATTCAAGTTATTTACTTTCTGCGTGGTGTGCTGGATGCAATTTGATAATTGTCAGTTTTGTTTTTATCTTCAACAGGCATTTTCCGCCTGCTATCACATTTCCAAACTGCAGTCAAAACCTGCTTGATTTTTATCTTATCTTTAGGTCTTCATTTAACACCTCTCCTGAAGTTTTATATCAGCATTTTTATTTCATTCATCACATTATAGCTGTTTTGAATATGTAGTGAGGGGAATTTCCTAAATATAATTTCCTCTCAGTAAGGAAAACTTTTACATTTCAGTTTCTAAATCAGAAGGAATGATCTCGTAGCAAAAAGCACCTGTTCAACGGAAGAACAAGATGCTGGAGAACAGAGGCTGTGAGGGCGGACTGCAACTTCCTGTTGTGGCTTTGTCACCAGTTTGTTAGTCTGAAAGCTCCATGCAGCCAAAATGTGTGGGTGCTTGGTGCTAAATATCACGTCTGTGTAATGTTGACTGTACTGAAAAAACTAACTCTCTTGGTGTGTCGTAGAAGACAAGAAGTAGAGGTGAAACTAGCATGATTAGCACTTGTTAAATGTTGATTTGAAACTGTCATTTCACAGCTGCTTTGTAATTTGGTAGATTGTAAAAATGTTTTAGCAGAAATTGGAGGGAACGTAGCTGCTTAAAGGTGGAAAGGTCAGAGGTCAAACAATTTGCGCTTTTAGCCTTTTAAATGCAGTTTTTGCTTTAATGCCTTTCCTTTCTCTCTCTCTCTCTCTCTCTAGTTAATTTCCACCAACCAGAACTCAAAGCCAAAGTCCAGCTCTTCTCTCACAGCCTGACCATGTCCATCGACCCGGCGGCCGAGCTGCCTTTCTACTACGGCAGCATCAGTCGCTCAGACGCCGAGCAGCACCTCAAGCTGGCCGGGATGGTTGATGGGATGTTCCTGCTGCGACAGTGTCTCCGCAGTCTGGGAGGCTATGTACTCTCTATCGCGTTTAACCTGGAGTTTCACCATTACCCTGTAGACAAGCAGCTTAACGGGACCTACTGCATCACAGGGGGGAAGCCGCACTGTGGGCCTGCGGAGCTCTGTGAGTTTTACAGCAAAGACCCCGAAGGGCTGGTGTACCTCCTGAGGAAACCCTGTCTGCGCACCCCGGACACTCCGATACGTCCCGGGGTGTTCGACAGCATGAGAGACAACATGATGAGGGAGTACGTGAAGCAGACCTGGAACCTGGAGGTGAGGCTGCTGTTCATCATTTTGAAGTTTTATAAAAGTGAAAAGAGTTCCTACTTTTCAAATAGTTAAAATAAGTTGTTCTGTAATTGAATAGATTAACATAATATTTACACTTAGTAGTTAATGTTACTAATTAGTTTAACTCAATTTAAATGTTTTGAGGTGCTTGCAATTTTTTAAAGTATTTATATTACTTACTTATTCGTTTTTATGTTACTACAATCATACAACCCAATAAAAGCCTATACAATACAAATAGCATTAAGGGTTAACAATCATTCCACAAAAAGTCACCATTTTTTTCATTTGTTAAATGTCTTTGTTTATTGCGTTTGAGGTCTGGCCATCTGTAGTAGGACTTCAATCTGAAGTCCTGTAGTTTTATGATTGGTCTCCTGCTGCTGAGTCCCACACTGAGACCAGTAGCCTTTTATCACTGGTTGGCTTCTGCTAAACAGCCAAACTGGCTCCAGATGTCTGTAGACCCCCCTGCAGGGACCAAAAGGAGACAGAACAATCATAACCCTCTGTCTGCAATAGATGCAACATATCTTAGAAGTAGTGAAAAGTAACAACATTTTAGCAAATTAGAACATTTCACATAAAAAACATAAAGAAATTGAACATATTACAAATATTTAAGTACTTTTTCTACAAAAAAATATAAATGCCTGATATGATATGCACCTCTTTCATACTGTATATTAAAATATATTGCAGCAGGTTTTCAGGGGTCCAGGGGCAAAAACTTTTACAGACCTTGCTGATTGAATGTATTTAGGGATGCCATTTGGGATACTTGAAACAGTAAATACACTCTTAATCATTGTGTGAATTCTGTCTGTTTTTGTCTTTTTGTGGTTCTTCTGCTCAGGGAGAAGCGATGGAGCAGGCCATCATCAGTCAAGCTCCTCAGCTGGAGAAACTGATCGCCACCACGGCCCACGAGAAGATGCCCTGGTACCACGCTAAAATCACCCGGCAGGAAGGAGAGAGGCGGCTTTACTCTGGCGCACAGCCTGACGGCAAGTTTCTGTAAGTCGCTCAAAGTGATGTGTCTTCTTCTTTTTTTTCAGCCAAAGGTCAGAGGTCACCATGCGGTTTTTAAGCAACTCTGTTTTTTTGTTTCTCAGAGTGAGAGACAGAGAGGAGTCTGGTACTTTTGCTCTCTCCATGGTGTACGGAAAAACAGTGTATCACTACCAGATCCTCCAAGACAAGTCAGGGAAATACTCCATGCCAGAGGGAACAAAGTTTGACACAATCTGGCAGGTCTGCGCCCCATAACACTCTCCTCTTCTTTCATTATCTATTGATTAGGTAGAACCTTATTCTGTTCATGTTTTATTTAAAATATAATGTTCTCTTAATCTCTCTAGCTGGTTGAATACCAGAAGATGAAAGCTGATGGCCTGATGACTAATCTCAGGGAGGCGTGCCTAAATGGCAAAGCCGCTGCAAGTACTGAACATTTCATTTCCTTTTCACAGTCGTGTTAACATTTAGTAATTTTTGTGAAACCGTAACCCTAGCCCTCACTGCGTTTCCAGTTCATGATTGTGTGTTATTTGTAACATTTAACCTTGTTGATCATTACACTTACTACTCAAACTAATGATATACATATTTTTCTCTTAACAACCTTTCAGAGACTCCTAGTATTCCTACAACAGTAAGTACTGAGTACAACCTGCACTGTTAAATTCAGCATGTTATTCTTTCTCTGAGATTAATTTGAATGTCACTTTTTCAGAGGCGTGCTCCAGCAAATGGATACACACCGCCCCCTCATGGTCAGTCACCTGAAGTACAATTTACTCATACCACACAGTTAAATGCTCTGTTATATGCACTTGCAGCAAAGTTACTTTCATTTAAGAGGATTTTTTTAGGGACAATGTATTAACCAACATCAAACAACACAGAAGTTATAACCTAAGCTTGTTTCCAATGTCTCTCCCTATGTTTGAAATACATAAAACTGAACAAAATAATAATACATTGTATTTGGGGGCCTTTCACGACACCCAGGACGCCGCCGTACTATTCAATAAATAATCAAATAAAAATGCTCCAAACTAAAATAATCAATATATATTTATTTAGAAAAGCAACAATACAAAAGGGTAAAGATTCTCTATGACAAGCACTAGTGCTACTATTAAAATACATTTAAAGCAGTATTAATAGTATACAATGTACTTTAATGACTCATTATGCATGAAATGGTTTCTGTTTTTGTTTGGTTTAATATTGGCAAAGCACCATATGGTTTACTGATCATATATTTTGATGGTAAAAACGTAATCTGAAAAATAACTAACCCTTGCTTTTCAAATAAATGTAGTGGAGTAGAAAGTACAATATTTAAGTGCCCTAAAACTATAAAAAAAAATACTCATCATGCTTACAAACATTTTAGAGTTACTGCAGCTCTATTTCAAAACTTCACAGAATCACACACAATCTTTTTTTAGCATTTTTTTTTAAAGAAAACACAGAAAAACATCTCAAAAACGATGTATCAGCAGTTCATTAGCATGTACAGCATTAAATCTGTCAGAAATTGGGTTTCAACCCTATATGGTTTGCTCCCTCAGCATCGAAGCTGGCCACCAATGTGCCTGCAGACCGTGAGGTGCTGCCGATGGACTGCGAGCTATTCAACCCGTACCACAACCCAAATGAAGTGAGGAAGTTCAACATCCAGAGGAGTCAGCTGCTGGTCGATGAAGTGGAGCTCGGCTCAGGGAACTTTGGCTTCGTCAAGAAAGGAGTCCTCAAGACTGATTCGTGAGGACTTAAACATTATGAAACAAAACAAGTTTCAACAATGAACCCAGAAGTGGTCTTGGTACAGCTGTACTGTAGCCCATGCACCGTCTCTTGAGTAAATCCACAATGTTTTGTTGTTTGTGTGCTCTCAGGGGCCAGCTTGATGTGGCCATCAAAGTACTAAAGAGTGACAATGAAAAGCTGGTGAGGGACGAGATGATGAGGGAGGCAGAGATCATGCACCAGCTCAACAACCCCTTCATCGTCCGCATTCTGGGTCTGTGCAACGCCGAGAACCTGATGCTAGTCATGGAGATGGCTTCTGCCGGGCCTCTCCACAAGTTCCTCTCCACAAATAAGTAAGTTAAACATATGTATGTATATACATGTAACGCCTCTGATCATTAAAAAAGATAAGATGGACCTTCATTAATCCCCGTTGGGAAACTCAGTAGTTTAACAGCAACAGGGTAAGATTGAAAAACAGGACATCACAGATTCACACAGATTAATAAAATGAAGGGTAAAATCAAAGATAACAAAAAAAAATGATAGATAACTATAAAATAAGAAATGAATTCAAATGGACATATTTGATAATGATCAGTTGTTCTTCTTACTTTATAATACTTAGTAGGGGAACTAGTAAAGTATTTTTTATTATACTTATATAAATAACAGTTTTGCCATGTTCTTGCATGTTACCACTTAAAATAGCAATGTCCACTTGTCCACTTTACAGACACATGTCTTAATGTTATTATAATTTTTAAAGAGTGATTTATCCTTCTCAAAGGGCTGCATTTGAAAGATGTTGGTGAAAGTATTAAATATTTCAGAAAAAAAGTATCTTGTGTGGCAAAAAAAACTCTTCTATCTCCTCAGATTAATGTAGTACCCCATGGTTAGAATAAAGTGTCATACAAGCCCATCTATCGTCCGAACTTTGATTTGGATATGGACAAAACACAGTTCTAAAAGAGAAAAACTGAATGAATATTCCTCGTCATCTCCTGATTTTTGTGACAATCAGTGTTTTGGTCACCACAGGGACACAGTCAGCGTGGAGAACATTGTGAACCTGATGCACCAGGTGTCGATGGGAATGAAGTATCTGGAGGAGAAGAACTTTGTGCACAGAGACTTAGCGGCTCGTAATGTCCTGCTGGTCAACAAACAGTTCGCCAAAATCAGTGACTTCGGGCTTTCCAAGGCCCTTGGAGCAGACGACAACTATTACAAGGTAAATGTTAGATGTTACAGAGTTTCTTTACAACAACCACATAAAACACAACAATCAAATACACAATCATGTTTAAATAACCAGGCAAGCACAAAGACCAAAGAGTTAAAACAAACCAAAACAATGAGTGATTATACTGCACTTTATTCTCAAAGTCAATAGCAAAGCACAGCATACATCAGTAAAGACTCAAAATAAAATCACAAAATAAAGGAGATAATACAATTAAGAAAAATGGGAAATAATATCAATACCAAGTGAAATTATACTGGCCTGTGTTGGACTTACAGATACATATTTAAATAGTTGAGAAAGTTGTTATTATCGTATGTTATTTCTATAACTATTGGATATTTCTCTGATATTGTTCAATAATGTTAAATGTCACTAAGGTACAAATCACCAAATGTTTTAATGTTAAGAAAAGTAAATGATCAAATCTTTCAGCATCCCTTGCCCATTGTTAAAGCGCTTAAAAGTCCTTTGTTCTTTAAATAAACATTGTTATCTATAATTATCAATATTGATGCAGGCATCCTCTCATTTACATGTTGCTTTTTTTCGTTCCTATTGTGTTGTTCAGGCTCGTACTGCAGGTAAATGGCCTCTGAAGTGGTACGCTCCAGAATGCATCAACTTCCACAAATTCTCCAGTAAAAGCGACGTGTGGAGTTTTGGTGTCACAATGTGGGAGGCCTTTTCCTTCGGAGGGAAACCTTACAAGGTACCAGAGCACAATCAAAGTCATCCATCAATTACATTACATATTAAATGGAATTACAACTTTTTTGTGTCACAATTATGTCTAGAAAATGAAAGGCCCAGACGTGATGCGCTTCATTGACAGTGGAAGCCGCATGGATTGTCCAGCCGTGTGTCCTGAGCGAATGTATACAGTGATGAAAGAATGCTGGATATACAAGTAAGAAAGTGATCATGTGATGCTTGTGCAACTTTACATGTTACATTTACAATACATACACATAAAGACAATTCAGTCACACAAAGCCATCATCACAGATACAACAATGAGTCCTTGTTATAATAAAAAATACCCTCGTCCTAAAACACTGTTTTAATTGCTTCAATCAATATCAGACTTTTAAGAGTTACTATTTTCCGTATACTAAAAGTTTGGGGATGTTATTTTCACAGTCTGGGAAATATGAATGAATTGAATCACAGACCTCAGTGCTCCATTATACTGTAAAAAATGCCTTAATGTGGTGGAATATAGAAATATCTTCAATTTTTAAGCCAGGGCTCCAGAACAAAAGCCTGATAGCAGATATCTAAAGAGTGCAGCACAATGTTGCTTTTATCAAGCAAATGAACAGTCATGCACTGCAGCAACGGAATCAGTTATTGTGTTATTATCAAGTCTAAAGCATGACTGCTGGAGCTGAAGGACATTACCTTCCTCACTCAGAACTAAAGACAATGTACCATGTCATGTGTTGTATTTGACATTCGGTCAGCGTCAGACAGTAATGTGACCTCATCTTGCTGCATTGCCTTCCTCTAATCACAAACCTTCAAACATCTGATCCTATCCTTCGTCTCTCCCCAGGCACGAGGAGCGTCCTGACTTCAAGAAGGTTGAGGAGTCCATGAGGTCTTACCATTACTCCATATCGAACAAGGCCACGCCTGAGGGAGCTGCAGCCGCTGCCGAGCCTATCAAGTAGACAGAAACAAGGCACATTCTGTCCCCATGCTGCACAAAGCATCCTTTCAACCGGCCATTAAAGATCCCAAACAAAGAGCTTTTTATGAACAGTGCACACTGACCAGCTTCAACTGCTGTACCAATTCAGCTAAACAGGCCTCGATGATAATAAATGTGCATTGTAAATTGGACTTCAGTAGGTCGGCCATGTAAAAAGGATCTGTGTCTCCCTGTCTGTCTGTCATGATTTGAATGTTAAGTTTCGACATCTTTGCATTGTTGAACAATTTAATTTTATACTGTGCTATTTTGGAGTGTAATGGGAGTATATAGTGCTTATCCAATTGGTTTTTCACAGTATCTTTTTTATGCCAAATAATGTAGAAAGAAATTGCTAGAACTGTACACTTTTTAATAATGTTCTTTTAACATTCCTGTGAAGTAAATGATTAAATCTGTTAACCTGTTACACATGGTTAAATGTGGAGTTCATAATCAGATAGACCTACATGCACTTTTGTTTTTTAGATATAATGAAGTAATACAATAGAACACATAACAATGTAACTATATAGTCATTGATCACTCCTTCTGCTGACTTGCACAGGGATGTTCGAGATGTTTCAACCTATGGCAGACATATATGGGGAATAATGTATTTGAAACATGCCTTGTACACATGTGCAAAGCTCTTAATCTGGATAATCTGCATTGGAAAAGCACAAGACAGGTTTAATGTAGTCTTGCCTTAAAATATTATAATTTGTTTTAATCGTTTCCGGAATTGTATGGAGAAACATAGCAGTTTTATGATAATTGTACGGTATCCTTCAAAGTAAATAAATAATCAGTATAAATAAAAGGGACATTAGCATTATGGTTTGAAATACACATTAATCTTGAACCATTTAAACGACTTTAAAGCAGAGTTTCCTGTGTTTTTCCTGTCAATAATCCAACCATGATGTATTGTGGTTTATTATGATTCTTTTCTCTGCCCCCTTAAACTGCCAGGCAACAACTGAAGGGCACGCGACACCGGAAGTTAAAGGATTACTCTTCAAAATAATGGCGTAATGTTTTGTCGGATAGCATTAGGCCTACACATTTCATGTTGCATTCAACCGCTGTGTTGAGTGAGATCTCAATTGCTTTAATTAGTAAACATTGAATACAACAATTGAATAACGAGTTGAGGCATTTAGAATGTACTTAAGTAAAAGTAAAGGGCAATGTATTCGACAACAACCATTATTAACATAAAACTAAGCAAGGGATTAATATGGTGGTATGACTTCCTAAATGCATAAACAAATAAATAATATTCTTACTAAAAAACCGAATTATGTTTAGAATAAATGCTCAATTAAGGTGGAACACAAAGTTAAGTGTACTGTCGATATGGAAATTATGTAAAGTTATTATTTATATATTAATGATTTATTTTCTCTCTTAAAAAATTATGATTTTCAGTTAACTTATGTAAAGCAACCATGTTGAATGTGTCCTCGTGTTAAGAGTGGAGTCATGCCTGTTATGCTATTCTTATTTCCTAAATGGTTTCGGTCTTTCAACGTCACATATTGTAAGAGTTGATTTCTACCAGCGCCATTTCTACAATAAAGAGATGTAACACAAAATTACAATGTTCAAAGGGTTGCATTATTTTTTGAAGATCCTGCCCGGAAGTAGCCACCGACGGATTTAACTCGACACTGGTGTACTTTTCGTTTGGTAGGGAGGAGTCAGACATTAGTTTCTTTTATTAAAGTGAGATGTTTATTGAATTAGCAGTAATTATTCATCATGTATCACGTATCCATAATGTAGGTCGTGCATTCTGTAGATTTAAAACTATTGATTGGTAACCAGATAATCTCCTATAAGAAAAGATCGAAGCAAAGTGAGCGGAACAGGAAGGCGGAACAAGTAAGTTCGTGAAAGTGCTGTTTCAACTATGCGATTTCGTCACCGTTTCATCGTCCGTCTAATGTAATACATGCTTCCGTATGGTTTTTATTAACATGTGATGTTACCTTAGTATGAATAACGTGGGGTTTGTCTTTTCTATGTGTGTAGCTGCTTTAGAAAGCAACAAGTCAGCCCGAGTTAGCATGTCGCGTCACGAATAAACTTCGTACAGTCGTCATGTGCCCCGCTGTTTAATCTCTTTTATCCTTGAAAGTGTGCTTAAAACGAATTAAAATCCGCATCATTGTGAAGATTTCGGTGTCGTATTTAGATAGATGTATGATTAAAGCTAGTAATGCTCTGTTATAATGGGTGGTAGACGTGTGACTTGGTTTTATTGTCATTCCGTAGATTCTTGAAATGACTCATGTTCACTTCAGGCCGATGTTTCATCTTTAATGCAAGCTTCTGTCTCTGTTAAGACTTGACGTCTACCTGAGATGTTCAGGTTGCCATCAATGCATTTGGCTTCATCACTTCTTCTCAATGTAGTGCCTAGATTAAATCATAATGAAGTAAAAACGTCGGCGTTTCGTGATAATCATAATCATTAGCTTTCACATGTATTTATGTTTTGTGGAATACAAAGAAGGTTAAAAGAGGTTGACATTACCTCCACCTTTCATGCCAGCTCTCAAGATATTTAGGATTTATATTTTCCTAAGAAGGTGTGTGAGTGTTTTATACTTTGCTGCATCTCTGCAAGCAACTCTAGGCCCGAGACAATGAAACAACTGGAACACAGATGCCATTGTTATGTAAACCCAGCATGTATTACATGGTTAATACACATCAGTAATAGAGGTAGAAGTATTTATATCCTTTATTATCCTCATTTAGGTATTTTTGAAAGCATGAATGCCAAATATTACCAAGTTCAGGCTTCTTACTTTTGAGGATTTGCTGCTTTTGTTCAGGTACTTTGACTCTTGGGAATTGTGATGGAAAGTTGTCTCTCTTTTCTCTGATATGACAAAGGATAAATATGATTACTCTGTAACAAATATCAGTAGAGTTATCAATAATGAGAACAGTTGAAGTTGCAGCTATAGATTGAAATAGTTTTGTGATGCAGGAGGAATAGGTTGCAAACTCAAATCATTATTGATAAAAAGTATGTATTTAAGCAAAAATATACTTCTATTAATAAAACTTTGTTCCTTTCTTTCTCTTCCCTCCTTTTGTCATATGCAGGATCACACACTGACTCGAAACAAATACCAGAAGACAGTTGATAACACAAACTCTGCCCTGGTTGTTTAAACAACCTTTTAACCTTTTTAACAGTAAATAACACACACAAAGCATTCAAACTAATTGTCTGACTCTGCCTCACTCAACAATGTCCATGGCTCTTAAACAAGTCTTCAACAAAGACAGGACATTCCGGCCCAAGCGCAAGTTTGAGCCCGGGACGCAGCGCTTCGACCTGCACAAGAAGGCCCAGGCGTCTCTGAACGCGGGGCTGGACCTGAAGATGGCCGTGCAGCTGCCCCACGGCGAGGACCTCAACGACTGGGTCGCCGTCCACGTGGTAGACTTCTTCAACCGCATTAACCTCATCTACGGCACCATCAGCGACTCCTGCACCGATCAAACCTGCCCCGTCATGTCCGGAGGGCCCAGGTACGAATACCGCTGGCAGGACGAGCACAAATACAAGAGACCGACAGCCCTGTCAGCCCCTAAATACATGAGTCTGCTCATGGATTGGATTGAGGTACAAGTCAACAATGAGAACATCTTCCCCACCAATGTCGGTAAGTGTTGAGATTATGGTGTTAAGACTTTAGTGTGGTAAACTCTTCATGCTGAGATCCAGAATTAGGTCACAGGTTTTTGGTTTCTGTGTGTCCTATCAAAGAGTAAAATGTATCTTAGCTGTCAACATTCAACAAGGCTGCTGTAAAGAATATTAGGCGGTTGGTTCAAATTCCTGAATCTGATAATCAACTCAACAAATCAACAATGTTCACAGACTCCTCGTAACGCCAAAAGATGGCATTGACCAGCTATTACTCACATCAATTAAATCAACCACAGTAGGCTATTTCAGTTCCTATTCTGGTCCACAGATAATGATCAGTGCCCATCCAGAATAACAACATTTACATCAAAGTGATTTACAACAGTAAAGCCCCCAGTGATGTTTGATAAATAATGATTCAATGTATTCACAGTTGAGATTTGTAACCCAGTGGTCCCCAAACTTGGTGTCGGGACCCCCACAATGGCTGGCAGGATACATATGAAGGGTCACAAAACAACTAACAGAAGAGTAAAATGGAGCATATTTATGCCTCACAAAGTTAGATTTATTATTCAGATTTCCCTCTAAGGTCCACTTTTGTCCTGTAAAATAAAGAAAATGTAGATTGTGGGGACTCTCACTTGGTTGAACTGGTCATAACTGGTAGACGTACTGCCTGCAACTGGGTTACAAGTAGAGGTGGTTCTGTTTTTAAAGAGGGTCATGAACCTGTTGAGAGCAAATATTATGTTGTGTTTCCACTGCATGATACGCATTTGCTAGACTAGACTTCAATCTCTTTCGTACCAGGTGCTGTTCTCTATTTTGTTTTTTCACTCCACAGTACCTTCCAGTGTAGGCAGGATTGTCCGCTCATCCACGTAACATAGACGCGTGAAACTGACGTGACGTCATCTTAAAAACAACTCTCGCTGAATCCTTTCTGCAAACAAACAGAACGTCTTTCACACCGTAGAGTTGCAGGGCGCTATTCAAATATAAACCTGGGATGAAAAGATTCAACAATTTGGTTTCCTAGTATTGACGGCAGTTTGGCTATTTAAAAATGCGAGGTAGAAAAACAGAAGAAATAAAAGTAAAACATATTTTAGTATTTCTTTCAATTGACAACTCATGCCAGCGCTAGTCATAGTAAAGATCCCAAAATAAAACGTTTTTAAATAACAAAAAAAACATGTAATGAATGCATTGCAAAGTTAAAATTAGGTACAAATACAATTATGCAGAGTGAAGGCATTTAAAAATCTGAATTCACTCTATTAGATAACCAAAATATGTATTAGATTAAATCTTGGAGGCCAAATTAATAACGTTACCCAAAGTGTTGCACATTACAAACATGACTTGTAAACCTTTATGCTGTTGTGGCATTGACGGTGTCTCATTATCTCATTCAGTATCTGTTTGCATACCTTTGCTGTGGCTCGCAATCTGACTAACTACAGAAACATCCAAGCAATGGATTAAAAAAATGGGTCACACAGTATACCGGAGGCTATAATTAGACAACATCTGATTCGTGTGCCCTCTGGAACAGATTCCTGAAATATTATTGAATTAGTTAAAGCAAACGACATACTAAATGAATCACTTGGTGAGATCAGAGGCTTATCACTCAGACTAAGCCATGTTGATTTTCCATTTGCTGGTCATCATGTGGTGATACTGTCTGGGCCCCTTCAGCATGCTGGTACCATACCTGAGGGATTCCATGGGACAAAGACACACACTGAAAGTTTCAACTCAGTAAATA